AAACTTTAATTTAAAATTCAATTATACATTTTTAATGAAATAAAAACAGTGCAAATTAATTTGTTAAGTATCTTGTTGACTTTTGAACGTTAAGCACGAATTATCCTTAGCTTTTTAACCTTAATCAGCAAGGTTAAGCTAGAGTAGCGTATAATATGCATTATGTTGAAATGCGCTTCCCCATTTGCCACACATTTATCTTGAAATACGATATGAACAACCAACCCAGAAGAGCTTAAAACAAAGCCGAAAAATGCCAGAACAAAGCTGCTAAAAAAGAAATTTATTTCCAACTGTGTGATTTTAAAACTAGCAGGTCATATGTAAAACCCTAACCGCCTGCTTCCATGAAAACAAAAACATCTCTGTGAAAGACTCATATTCTTATAAAAAGAAGAAAGGAACATTCTGAATTACTGGTTTTCATTACAATTTTTTTTTGAAATTTCACTTAAATTTAAAAATAAAATTTTCAAATTAAATTTCTACTCAAGAATAGAATTTTTTTAATTTAAAATAAATATTATTTAAATTAAATATTATTTAATATATGTATTTCAATATCTTACTTAAATTTAGAAATCAAACATTTTTAACAAAGTACTATTTTAACAGAGTACAAATTTGTACTCAGCAATAAAATTTTATTATTTAGAGAGAATAATTATGAGAATACAATTATTATTTTCCAAAATATATAATACCAATGAATTTGTATATAAGAAATTAAATATTAATTATTATATGTATTATTAAGAAATTGTTTGTATAATTGCTACTTGAAGCATAAGGCACCAACAATTACCTTCCACCAAGAAACGTCATTTTGTACTAAGGTTCGAATTTCATATCAAGCTAATACAAGTGACTCAATCTTCGATCTCTGTTTAATGGTGCCAAGTGATATGCTTAGTCTCCCAATGCTTAGCCCTGCTACGACTGTTTAGTAATGTTCTTTTAACTTTTTCTGAACGTTTCATTGATCCACATCCATTTCTTTCTCCTATTTTCAGCAGTAAATTCAATCTAGTTTATTATTCACAGTATGTTATAATACGAGGCCAGAAGATAAAGTAGAGATGTCTTTTAAATAAGATTTGAAGATGCCTTGTAATCGTCTAAATTACTTTAGTAGAATAAACATTAATCAGTTAATATATGAATTTTTATAATTTATTTAGAAATTTAAATTAATTACACAAGAGAAAAAGTATCAATATTTAATCAATCATGATTTTGAATTTTGTTTATTATTATCTGTAAATACAAAACCAACTGCTGAAATGTAAAAAAAAATTTTATTTATATTTTATTTTTCCAATACTTATTTTACAGCAATTTACATTTGCGAACATGGTTCTTTAGTTAAAAAAAAATTATTATTTACTCTTATTAAGGTTCATTTTTATCAGATTTCGCTACACAATCCAAAATAGATGTTTGACCGCATAAGCATTGACCTACACTCATTCTTATTCTTCGCAATCATCATCTAACTTTTCATAATTATATTAGCTGTAACATTATCGACAAAATGTCTCTGTGGTCTACCTCTATTTAAATCATTTGTTTTATGTAATATTTTCAAGAATGTGTACTTATCCTAATATTCTTAAACAAGCTCATCAACTCATTATTCAATCGGTATCTCCAAATTTCGTTTTCATTTATTGAACCATATTTTTATTTAAATATTTTTCATTCAAGGGCATCCAATTTACTCACGTCACTTTTTTCAAGGTCACATCTAATCAACATATGTTAGGACCAGAACCATTAGTATTTAGCAAAATCAAATTTTTGTTTCTTAATGCAGATTCTGACTTTTAAGAAACCATAACCTTTTCAGAATAACACAATAAAGATGATTCCAAATATTTGGTTCCATAAAAAAATAATTCTTTAGAAAAAATTCGGCCCAGAATATAAGTAATAAGTGCAGAATACTATCTGTAGAGAGTTGGGCTACAATATCGAGAAGCTAATAGTTGATTTTTATTGCACAATAATGCAATATCACTAAAAGCCATCATTGTGAGGGAATTTTCTTCAAAATTGTATAATTTTTATAGATCTTTTATAGATTTTTTGCAGTTCCATTACTGACTGTTCCTCAAACTAAAAGTGACAATGATAAACCATTGTATTGATACCGTACCAAACACTCAAAAAGCTTCCACTAACATACTAAGGGCAATTCCGGTCGATTAGAGTATCAAAAATGTTTTGCAAAATACGTTAAATGTTTTTAGCACTTTGTTGATTTGCAGAAAAATATTTCAAATAAATAGAAATAAAAACTGAAAATAGTAAAAGTTTTTTAGGACGAATTTAATCGTACTTGGAACAGAATCTATATTCTTCTATTTTGATTCACAGTCTGCTGTTGTCCGTAGTGTGTTTTACATTTGTGACTATAATTACTTCAGTTTACGTAGAATTATTACTGTTGATATTTATACATCATAGAAAATAGTTCTTTATTCAATGATTACTTACTTACTAAATTTACATGTACTAACATAGTACTAAGAGACATGAGCATTAACAATAATAAGGTTACCTTATTACTTATTTATAGATTAAGGTTACCATATTACAATAGAAAAATCACAATTTTCACTAGACACATTTAAATATTTTACTAAAATTTGAAATAAAAAATAAGTACTTAATATTTTTTACTAACCATATTTATCTAACCATTTTATCATACATAATATTTTAATATTATGCTTATAAAAAACGCATATAAATATTTTTTTTACACTTTAATTCAATTTCTGTGACTTAAAGCATCATTGTTATCCTTTTTATATTTTTGTGTTTATTACTTATCTGTAATGAAAATCGCATAAGCACAGCAGCAGTAAATTTGCGCGGATTAAACTAATTTGGCAACACTAAATACTGCAGCACTTCAATCATTCTTTTTCTAGTGTTGTAAATTGTTATTATGCCCGTGAACTTATGCATAAAACACTATTTTCAGGTAACTGAACTAAAGTAAATTACCTATCGCAGTACTATTCCCTCCTTTTCTTTCGTAGTTGAAGGGAACTTTGAATTGAATTTTCTTCGTTAACATCAACGAAGTTTTTATTTTCACGTTAGTATTCTTACTCTTAGGTGCGATGCTTTTCTATAACAAAAAGTACTTCGTTTCAACTTCTTTTTTTTTATAACTTAAAGGACTACGAAGTTTATATTATGTGTAAATATCATTTAAAAATAAATTCGAATATAATATAAAATGTGTAAAAATTAATTTGTTTAAAGAAATGTATTTTAAATTTATTTATAAATATTTAAGATACTAAATTCAAATTCGAAAAAAAGGGGAATTAATTAATTAATTATTTTTTATTCGAAATAACTACCAACACTATTATCTTAATATTTGCGGATTTCATAATATAATTTAATTAAAACAAAATCAATGCAAATCAAAAATTACTGTTTTGATCTGCTTAAATCTGCTTAAAATGATTTAGTTACTCAATTATAGCAATTTAACTCTCCGTCCAAACATAGTTCTAAAAAAATATTTAATATAAATAATTTTTTTGGTTTATTAAACAACATAAAAATGCCACGCCACACACATATTTTATGACTGGAAAGAATTAGACAGAACTTACCTATTTAGAAAATTTTAATGCAACCAAATAGTTGGCTATAACTGCATTCCAACCTAAAAGATCTATTGTGTGCCTGAAAACTCAGCTAAAACAATTTTAAACTATTGATAAATCTTGTAATTGCTATGGGCTTAATTTAATCTATTTCATTTGGGACTAGGGTCACACTTTCAAGGAACTCAAATCTACGTGTTGCCGCCGCGGGGCAGTTGCAGAGAATATATTCTAATGTTTTCTTCTCCTCATGAGAGAGTCGGCAGCAATCACTTTTTACCGCACCAATAATCTTCATATGGTATTTGAGTCTACAGTGTTCTGTAAGAAGTTCAGTATAGATATCGTTTCAGCTAAGGTTAAAGTGCCATCGTATAACCCGGACCTTGTACCAAGTGAATATCATTTGTATCAGTCCCTGCAACAGTCTCCTAATGCTAAAAAATTAGACGGCAGAAGAAATACTGAAAATTACTAGTCTACATTTTGCGCAGATAAGCTGCACGAAAAATCACAAGAGATCATAAATAATTATAGCCAGAAAAATACTCAAAATACTGGACTTTTAATCAAGTCAAAACTCTTCTAACAAGTTTAGCAAAAAAATTTCGAACTAGCATTGAATATAGGTGGATATAAATAAAAACTTTGTTCGATTTTTTGATGTTACAGCGTATTTAGTGCCGATTTCATTATAATGTTAAGTTAGAATATAACATGAAAATTATTGTAAGAAGATTGTGTAGGCGCTATCAGCGTTGACAACTGCTGTCAACGGTTTACTAGCTCTATTGTCGGAAGGTCGATAATAGAAGAAACTTATGATCGCACAAAGCTGTCACGAAATAAATAATAATAATTTATTATACCGGATTCGGTTTATTATTTACACTTATTATATTTTTTTAAGCTCAAAAACATGAACACTTGTAATTCAGTCTAGGCTTCATGTTTAAAACATATATAATTGAACACAATGCCATAAAAAATATTTAATAAAATTAATTAAATATTAATTTTTCATACAAATAAAACAAAAGATTTTTTAGACTTTAATAAAATAAATTAAAAATTAGGTGATTAATTTAACGACTGCAACAAAAATCACTCAGTTTACTTTAAAAAGGGCATTGAAATATATAAATAAATAAGTAATTAATTTTAGACATAAGCATTTATATACTATATATAGAAATTTATTTTATAATAATAGAAATACTTAAACTTTGTGTTACACAGTAAATGCATTAAAAAAAGAAATTTTGAATGTTGAAGTTATTAGTAAACTTCAAGCAAATAAAATTGTTTATTTTGATTTTAATTTCAATTATTTATTTTTCTATTTTTTTTTATATATATTTCTAGCACAATGGCAAGGGAACTAAATACGCTTGGATGGGACTACCTAATGTTTGCGCTATTCATTGCTCTAACAGTATTAACACCACTGTGGAAGCGCCTTTTCGGTAGAAAAAAACAACGCAGCAAAGCGGATTACGTATTCGCCACGGGTTCCGTTTCTATATTTGCCATTATGATATCAATTGCCAGAGGCGCACTGGGTGTGCGTACCATATTGGGTAGGTTCAAATATCATCACAAATTTTAAATTGCCTTTGGCAATTGAAAGTTTTTTGTATATATACATATATAAATTGAGTTAACATTAAAAGTCTACAATTTAAAAATCAAATTAAATCGAAACAACATTAAAAAAAAAAAAACATTTAATCGAAATCAATTTTCTAATGAAATTCAATATTTTCAATCGGTCAAATAAAGAGTTTTTCATATAATTTAGTTTCTGTTTTAGTGCCGGGTTTTTAACTAGAATACTCAAATTTATATTTATACAAAATATTTATATACAGAAGTATGTAATTTTCAGCTACATTTCTTTTTTATTTTATTTTATTATATTTTATTTCATTTCATTTTAGTACATTTTATTTCATTTTTATTGGTTTTTCTCATATAAATTTTTTCCTTTATTAGGTTTTTTCTACACATATTTTAAATAATTTATTATATTATATTTTATCTATTGCTCGTTTTTATTTAATATTTTTAAGTTGATTAACTCTTTAAAGTTATTTCAAAGCTGTTAGCATTTATAGTTCCATTATAGAATAATAGTTCTTTTAATATACTCTTCATAATTGAAAAAATAAAATTAGTTTCGAATTATTTTTAAGTTTTTTATAATTGTTTTATTCCTAAAATTGATTGATGAAAAAAATGATTTTACAGGATACCCTAGTGAGCTTTTTTATTATGGCTCTGGCATGTGGGAAATTATTTATGGAACAATGAGTGCTTATCCCATAGTTTGTTTCGTATTTGTACCAGTATATTTTAGTTTGGGAATAACTTCTGTATATCAGTATATCGATTTAAGGTAAGTAAGATGATTATAATTTGTATTTATATCAAATCTTTCATAAAAAATTTAATTTTTTTTATATAAATTACCAAATGCAATACTCGTAATAATTTTATACATTAATAATTATAATATCTGCATATTCTGATATTTCATATAAAAATTCTGGATTTTTGTATAAATTAGTATAACTCACTAAATTGAAATATAAAAATATTATTTTAATAAGCTTAAATTATTATTATTACTTGTACTCTTTGATAGCTATGGGATTTCAGCAGAGTCCCACCCATCTCACTGACTTATTTGTGTATTCCTCAAAAGCGTCGTGATTATTCAATGACTGATCTAAGATCTACGTACCGCTCTGTGCGGTTAGTGATTACTCTGAGATTAGATAGTGCTAAGTACGGCAGCCTGTCGGTTTTTGCACATAACTTCAGGGCTTTGTCCCTTATGTATTTTTTGACCGGATATATTCTAAGGTCTCTTAGCATGTTATTAGTGCGAATGTACCATGGCACTTCGAAGTGTATTCAGAAAACCTGACTTTGAGTAACTCATAGCTTCTGGTTAGTAGAGTTGGCAGCTTTGTCATACGCGACACACCTATAAAGTAGTCCTGGTCTAATTATCTGGCTATAGATCAGCTTTCTGTTATTTACGCTAAGGATGTTGTGTTTGAAAAGTGATTGTGAACATTGCAGTGTTTTTGCGCAACTACTTCTTTCAACTTGTATGTGCTTGTGACAAATGAATCGCTTATCAAACGTGATTCCTAGGTATTTAATGCTGTCCTGTCAATTAATCACGATGACACCAACTCTCATTCTCGGTAGCCTGTGTTTACGAGTAAAAAACAAATTAAGTCTAATATTATCTTAATAATTAATAAATTAATAAATATTAATATGTATTAACTATCTTAGACCTAAATAAATTAAATCCTATTTTTTTCAAGTTTTTTTAGTAATTTTAATTATATTTTTTTGTGTATAAATATTGCTTTGAAAGAGTAAAAATAAAAAAATATATAAGAAAAAAGTATCTACAAAAATATAAATTCTACATATACTACTGTATATATAAAAGCTCTCCCTAACCAAAATTTTCAAATTAAATTTTATAGTATAGAGTTTGTTTTAAACTCTAAACATTTACGATTGATTAGCAATCTATGAGAGTAATTTAAGCCTTACTGTAACTAAGCATTAATTTACAATTGTAAAATTTAATTAAAATCAAACGAAATCATTTAGAAACAAATTTATTTTTATTATATACATATACATATATATATATACATTTATATATTTGTTAGTATGTTTTTTTAATTTGGTAAGTTGTGCATTTTGAACAGCTTTTTCAAATTGTTAAACAGTTCATTCAAACAAATCAAAAAAGGATATCCGTTGGGTGGTTACATCAAACTTTCACTGATTACTTAAAAAGAAATTGATAGAAAATTGTCGTTCTTAATTGTTTTCGAATTTAATTTAACTAAACAAATTTTGTTCACAACTGTTGTCACGTTCAGCAAATCTAATTAGTTGTGTAAACGCCAATTAATTGTACATAATTTGCATTCCTATTGACAAATTCATTTTGAAGTTGTGTCCCCTTTGGACTTCCGTAAGTTAAGTGAAGCAAAGATATCGGCTGATAGGACCATTTCAAAATACTTTCATTGCTATGAAATGAAATTGTAATGAAATTTATTGAAGTACATGAAATACTCATTTATTTAGATATACAACAGTAGATACAATCAAAGCAACTGTATAATTTGAAGCATTCAAATGAATTTAAAAATGCAGTAACTTAGTAACTAAAATTAATGATGCTAATAAAGATACATTTTAATAAATGAATTTGAACGTTCATAAAAATGTTTATATATTTTCTAGAAATATATTAATTGTCATTACTATTGATGTAAATGTGAGATTGATTTATATAATTGATACAATAATATTAAATATAATATTTACATACAATAACAAAATATATACATAAATAATTTTTTATAATAAACGTAATGAATTTGTGGGTAGGGTTAGCTATAACAGTACTTGTAAAAAGTAGGGTTTGAAATAAATGACTTGAATAACATTGTACTCCTTTTAACAATTTACTTCATTTTAATTATCTAAATACATAGATATCTTTAAGTAATGTTTTATAGCATTTACTACGATATCACCTCCATTAAATATCAAAACAATAATATTAATAAGAATATTGAAAAATACAGGGTTATTCAAACCTCGTATCTAATAAAACAAACAAAATTAGCTAATTATTCTTTACGACTGATTACATATAGCATTATTCTCCCATATATAGACAAAAAACTCAAACATGTGACTCTAGAAATTGCTTATAACAATTCTATCAATGTAGCAGATACCTTAGCTATAAAAAAATCTGATAATTATAGATAATGATTAAATGAGTTCTGGTGATATTAGATACTATTAATTGAACAAAATTATTCTGCCTACTTGCTTAAGTTAGAAAAATTGACTACATTTATTTTTAGATATAATGGCAAATTCGTTACCCAGAGTGGGATAACAACCCATAAAAATTGATGAACATCTATAGTAGGTTAAACATGTAAAGAAAATAGATAACACAAATACCATCAGATCAAATTTGTTATGGATTTCAAACAACATGATCGCATGACCTTAGAAATAAAAGCAAATAAATAGAAATTATGAAAGAAACTTTAATGAGAGGCTAAGATTCGATTAGAATGGTTTATAAAACGCCCTGAAAGCAGAAGAAACAGAAGCAGATCAAATTTAGGTAAATAACGAAGCAACTTGATCGGATCATCTGAGTAATAAAGGCAATTGAAAAGGAATTATAAATAAAACTTGATTGGATAACCAGAAAAATAGGAGCAATTGAAAGGGAATTATAAAGAAAACTTGATCTTATGGTCTGAAAAATAGAAGCATATAAACAGGAATTATAAACAAAATTTCACAAAAAAGGCTAAGAATAAGTAGTCACATATAAAATTTTTTATTTTAACAAATTATTTAGGTTTTTACAAATATATGCTTCCGCTCTTACACATATTATATAAAATTATAGTAATTTCACTATATAGTAAAATATTACAATAAAAAATTACTGTATAGTAATTTTAATTTCCATAATAATGTTTTTACACTAGTTTAACTTGGGTCGGAATTCAGATGAAAAACATTCTGCAACTAAAATTGCTTGGTTTTTACATTACGTATATATTAGCATTTGACGATATATGAATGCTAATGGTTATATTAATTAAGATCCTACGTTCGTAGTTATACCTATAATTAAATTGTTTACCAGTGCAAATGTTTATTAAAACAATTAAATTGTGATTCGTTTTGTTAAGAAAAAATATTAATTTTCATTGCATTTATTTTCATAAAAAAATATGATTAAATAAACTTCATCACATGTCCAAATTACATATTAGCTAAATTTAGCAAATTATATACGCTATTAAATAAAATCTCGATGCAAAAAATTAAAATAATTGCTGCCTAATATATAATTGATGCCTAACATGGAAAAATATAATTTGTCCTGCTAATTTTTAAACATTTTTATATAAAAAGTAATGAACCTTTTTGTTGATTTAATAAGATTGAATAAAAAAAATGTTATCAGGAAAAACCTACTTTGAAATAATCACAAAAAATGCACGTGACATATGATTAATATCCGTTTTGATTATAGAAACTCAGATTGATTTAAAATATGCCATATTTTATGTGCCAATTATTTTGAAATAAACATTTTTCTTTTTTTTTTTGTTTTGTACTACATTGAATGGTGGATAAATAAAACAATTTGTTTTTCTTCAATATAAGATACATCAATTTAATATTGAAAAACAAAATGTACCTAACACTACACCATCAATCATTCGTATGAATACATTTGAAGCTTATGTACATTGTACATATTGCATATTCAAAAGAGTATCAGAGTATCTATGATAAAATACTAAATTATATCGGCTTAAATTGACATCTATAGCTTAACGCATCAATATATTATTTTATTTTGCCAAATTAATCAAACTAAGAGCGAGTATTATGAGCAGTCAAGCAAATTATTTATTTAATATGCATTTATAATTTTTTTTTTGCTTTTCTCTTGCCATCAATACTCTTACACTCATTTTTTTAATCATTTTGAATTATACAAAAGAATTTTTAAATATGTAAATACATGTTTTAATAAGCCCCTAGCACAGATGCACATTCAATGAAAACGTTTGTGAAAATTGACAGAAATTAGTATGAAAAAATTGTGTACATTGAATTTCATGCACGACATACCACAAACGTCCTGAATGTTTGCATTCATACTTTTTCCCTCAATTTGTCAACTGCAAATAAACACTCATACGCACACGATTTCCTGAACTTAAGCTCTTCTTCAAACAAATTGCTGAGAGCTTAAAGATAATGCTGCATAATCTGAGGAAATTTGATATTTCTTTACTATTGAATTATTCTTTTTATTTTACTTAACTTCGCTTTTCGCACTTCAAAAAAATTGTTCACACATAATTGCTGTCAGAAGTTAAAGGAAAAGATTTTCTGTATAGATATCAATTTATATTATTTTCATATAAACTGAAGTTATATTAAATGCATATTATATTATATTTTGGATTTAATATATTAAATTCTTTATCATTTTGGATTTAATTTAAAACAACACTCAACAGTACTAAGTCGATTCTTCATACATATACAACGCTTGGAATCTGAGGAAAATAATGTACTAGTTTATCCTACACGTTTTTCTAATAAACCAAAGAAGTGTTAATATTTTCAATACACAAATATATATATATAGGCGCTTAAAGTTACATTTTACACATCGTTTCTTAATTTCTATTAACATTCTTCGTCTTCTTCTTATTTGGCACTACAGGCCAGTGTGAACCTTGGCCTCCTTCACAACCTACCTCCATCTGCTTGAGCTTGTGCAGT